CTTCTCTGGTCGTGTACCACAGTTAGAAGATGGTATCTACCTACTGCTGAAACGAGTTCTTGAGCCATACTGCTCCAGCATCTGCATCAGACTTGTGCAGGTCACTGCTGCCTGGAGAAAGGGCCAAACATTGCTCTCTTACTCAGTGATAAACATAAGGAAGTGACTGATGTTTGTCAGCTACCTTTTGCCTTTTGGGAAGACAGGGTGAGAGCTAGATATTTTAGCAAGATAGGGAACAGACCAAGTAGGGCAGGAGAAGTACTGAAGAGAGTAGGTAGCAAATGAAGGATGCTCTGGAAAGAGGATGGAGCCTTGAGAGCATGTTGATCAGAACATTTTCCAGCAGAAATGCAGCATGTATAGAGATACTGAGCAGTACTGACAGTATCGAGCTCTCTGCCAGAGCCCAAACTGTGCATGTTTCCTCTGCTTCAGAACCCCCACGCTCTACCTAGTGGCTGTTCAGACACGTTTCTGGACTGGTGGGCAGTGTTGCCTCCAGATGGCTGTCTCCAGTCCCCACCATGTAAGCAGCTCTGACTTCAAACCTCTAATGGCCACTTGTGTTGTGAGGAGGGCAGCTCTGCAGAGGCTGTTTGGTGCCCAAGGAGAGCTCTGTTTAACACCAGTTTTCCACATCACTGTAACCTTCCACTATCATGTGGCAGATGGAATAATGATTCATGCTGTGAATGTTCTCTGCGTGTTCCTCTTGCGCGCCTGCTGTCTTCTGCTTGGTTTGATCCCATTACATTAGATCACATGTTCTCTGTAGTTTTCCATTGTATTCTTTTTTTTTTTTTTTTTCATTTTCTTTTTTTCTTAAAGCTCTGTGTAGTTTCTGTGCTCTGGCAGCCAGATTTCTCTCTGAATATCAACCACACAGCCATTCTGTGGTAAGATGAGATATTCAGCAAGTCATCTTGCAAAACCCTGAATAACAGAAGCAAAGCTTTCCATTTTTATTCCCCCCTCCACCTTCAATTTCCCTTTTAACATGCTTTCATTATTTTTGAGTTCCATTCAATGTGATCTGTGATTTCCCTTCCCCTCCCGTTTCGCAGGCCTGGATTTTCTGGTCCCCGTCGCAGGTTACCTCTGCAGGCTGTGTCACAAATTCTACCATAGCGACTCTGCTGCCCGGCTCGCACACTGCAAGTCCCTGATGCATTTTGAGAACTTTCAGGTTAGACCCTTTGGCAATTGCATGGCCTGGCATTTGTTACCCCTGTGCGTGTCTCTTCAGTGACTCCTCCACGTTAGCTGTCTTGTCTTCAGTTCATTTCCATCATCCTTGATGTCCATTACACTACAGCTTTCCCCTGATGTGCTCTGTGCTTGTCTCCATCACCCCCGTAGATTGAAAACCAGTCCAATCCTGCTTCCCAGCTACTGCTACTGTCATCTTGTTGCCCATTTCTAGCTGGAAATCTTTCTCAGAGTGTCTGCTCTGTTTGCTGAACCTGTGAAGTCTCTCATTCAAGTCTAGGCATCTTCTTTTCTCTGTGACACAGGTTACAGGTGGGTCAAAAGGGGGAAAGAACTAGACAGAAAGAGGCTGTTCCTTGTAAAGAAAGTTGTTACATGCACATCTTTTTCATGTGATGCTACAGTGACTGCAGGAATGGCTCCTTTAACCAGAATTGCAGGTGTGATTCATCCATTAAGGGGCCAGGTAATATCGGATATACATCTTAAAAATCTGGAAATTAACATTACAGCACTATTTAGATGATGGAAACTGTAAGCCAAGTGCTGGTGAGAGTGTGTTTGGGCCCCGAGGTTGAGCCTGCAGCAGGAAGTCAGTCTGCTAGCTTTCCTAGAAACTCCTTAGCACAAATCTTGGCCAACTGATGCTGTTGCTTTGCTTTACTGGCTCCACCTGAAGAAGCAGTAATGCCCCTATTGCCCCTTGCTGCTTTCCTATCTAGGAACTTTTCCCTACTGGGCTGGCCTGGAATCTGCCTCCATCATTCTGTCCTTGCTGACTTGCAGTGGGTGAGCGGCTGGATTAGTGCCTCGTGGTGGGTATGCAGGACGTGTACTGTCTCTGCTCTCTTCCTTTGGTGACCACTGCCTGGGCCCTGCCTGTGTAGGAGAGTAGTATTCTCTGACCCTGGTAAGGACGGAGGTTCCCACTGTCACCTTGTCTTCTGCCTGCACCCAAAACCTGCCTCCGCAGAAGTTGTTGTGCTTCCCTAGATACGCAGATACAGTCAGTCTTTGTTGTATCATACGGTGTATTTCTGCTAGTCTTCAGACAGGTTAACTGTTCCCAATCTGCTGTTGCTGCCTCTACAGCAAAGGCTGGGGTAGGGGGTGCTGCAGAAACCAGCACTTAGAGCTGTGGATTTGGAATGGCAACTAGCTGGAGAAGACTACAGCTGTTCCTTCGGGGTTGCTCATCCTCTCCCACTCCTGCTAGTCGCTTCTGGAAAAAAACTTTCCTGCCCTATTTTAGATCAGCTTGGGCTGAAACTGCAGCAGCGATGTGTATGCTTCCCTTATGGACCATTTAGAACTGAAATCAGACGCTCTTCAAATGGATGCTGTAGCGCCCTGGAAGGACAAGAGTCCAACCCTAAATATCTCCAGACAGATAACTATTCCTCTTGACTGCCTAGAGGCCTTGGGGTTGTCACAGTCTGAGATAAATCCCTTCCAGTTTCTGAGGTTGAAAGAAACTTTTTCTCATCAGAATAGCTCAGCAAAGGGTTTTGAAGCAGGGAACTGCCTGTTGGTGAGGCAGTACACAGCATCGCTCTGCAGACAAACCAGCACGCTTGCACCTAGCTAAGGTTGGGTTCAAAGTTATGGCTCAACTGGTCTAGCTCCAGTGTGTAATGGTACCCAGCCACTTATTCTACCCCAAGCACTGGGGGAACAGAAACTGTGCGTTACTCTCCTCCCCCTTCTGAAACCAACCTATAGCAGTTCGGGGAAAACTTTCAAAAGTGAAACTGATTGAATTTTGCAAACAAATCGTAGTCATGGCCCTGTGTCCATCCTTTTGTTACGCATGATACTTCTGGGTAGTTAGAAGTGAGGAATATAATACCCTGCCCATGAAAAGCATTCTATTACTTGAGGACAGGGAAAGAAAAGCTTGCAGTGATAAACGGAATTAAAATGTAAAGCTGACTGTCTGAAGCACCTTAATTCCACACTGCAGACTGCAGTAACACTGCTTAGACTGTGATGAAAGCCAATACACTCAAAATAGTTTCTTTAAATTGTTGGGTCTCATGCCAGCGCCAATTCAAGGGGCCTTTTAACAGAAAGCTGAAAGCGAGCTGATGGTGAAGGGAACTGCTGTGGAAGAGAAAAAGCCGTGTTTCGTTCCCTTAGTTCAAAATCTGTCTGGGACTTGAAGACCAGCTGCTTGCTGCATGTCAGATACTTTACAGAGCTACTGCTTTTCTGAAATCCAGTCCAGAGTGACTGGCCATGTTTGTCTCTTTACAGACCTCTGCTGGTTCACCATGATAGCTAGTGTAAATGAGTCATTTTATTCATAATTTGCTTACCTGCATTCTAGAGAGAACCTCAGTACCTTGTAGCAAGAAGATATTCTTGACATCCTAGTATTCCTGTCAACAGCTCCACTGAAGGGCTCTCTGATCCTGGTGCAAAGGGCAGTGTGACTGCACAAATTATATCAGCAGAATGAAAAATCTTAAGCTTTCAACTTAAATCTTGCTGTGGCTGTTAAATGTTAAGTCATTCCTCTCTAGCTAAGGACAGACCATGCCCTCATGTGTCCAGGGTACATGTCCAGAGCTGAATCCTGGCGGTAGCTGGAGCAAGAGCTCTCCTTTTTACTGTTATATCTACAACGCCCCTGGTTGAGATGCCTCCCTTAGTTGCCAAAAGATGATTTTGTCTCAGGAGCCACATCATGCACTTGTTCAACATTAACTAATGCAAGAGGGAGTTAAATTTTTAATATCACCACTTTTCCTCACAGGAGCTAACCTTTCTCTGCTTGAAAGGCTCAGCAGCCAGGCCAGGAGAGCTGCCGAGACAGTATGCGCCCTTGCAGATTCTAGCTGTCACTCACTGCTGTCTTCATACAGGTTTTCCAGGACCAGCTGCTACTTGCTGCAGTGACAGTAACTGGGCTGAGCCCATCTCTCACAGTGGTTTATTTATGTTTGCAGAGATACAAGGCAGCAAGGCATCGTGCCACAGCTGCCTACCCCGAGGCGCCTTTGCATTCCCAGGGCTCCAGCTCCCAGGTGCTGGGTGATCAGAAACAGCCTCCTACTGCAGCTGTTGATACCAGCAAGAAGATGAATGCTGATCATGAGATAGGCAAGGAAGGTACAGAGCTGTCAGCAGTGCAAGAAGCTTCACGGTCTTCAGAGGGCAAGGATGGGCTGGCCACCTCTGTAGCAGAGGACAAAAGCCTCGCCAGCAAGACTGACGACACGTGTGGAGTCATGGTCGTAGAAGAAGGAAATCTACAGGAGGAGGAGAAGTCCACTACCACTAGTGCCGATTGCTTGCTCCCTGAAGAGAGCAGCACCGTAGGGGAGTTGTTGGGACACACTGCGTGTAAGGAGGAAGGCGGCAACGGAGCCAGGCAAAGTAAAGGCACAGACAACTGCCAGAATCCAGGGAGCGAAGGGGGTTTAGAATGGAGTGAGGCAGCAAACACGGGCCAGGAGGAAGCAGCTGAGCCTTCTTCCCTCACCAAAGGTGAGGCAGCCAGTCTTACCTCTGCTGGGTGCAGGCGCTCTACTAGGCGCAAACCCAGATAGAATGGCCTTAAGGGGAAAGCCCTTTACACATGATACTTGCTGGAAATGTTTATTTTCGGAGTCTTTTAATAGAGCGAAAACCTTCAACTTTACTGCTGTTTTTATTTTAAGAATAAAATAAGCCTGGCTTTAGCGTGTCTAATACAGGATGGTGTTGATTATTACTTGTACAGTTGGAATACAGTAGTTCTGTGGAAAGACTGAGACTTGGGTTGCTGAACCCGAAAGAAGGTGATCTGATCTTCATAGAGACAAGGTTCAGGAATTAGGTGGATGTAATCTGATTTTTCCCTAAGAATCCTCTGTAGCTCCTCTCTGTTTCCTTTCCAGGAAGGAGGGCAGCTCTTTTGCAGATTTTATGTCCAATTCTGTTCCTCAGACCAGTTCTCGCTCAAGGATGCACGCTCCTGGACCAGGACTGTGTCCTGAGCTAGGCAAGGATGTGTATCTTTGTCATCTGTTAACAGTACAAGACTTAAGACAGTCTATTTTCATATCGGAGACTTCAGGAACAGATTTTGTTTCAAACTTTTTAATGAAACAGATTTTTTTTTTTAAATAAATAACTTCCTTAACTTCCCCGAAAACTCCTTTAACTGTACAAAAGTAGGACAGTGAAATAAGACTCGCTTCACCATGTTGGCCCCCGGCCATCCTGACACGTTCACAAGGTTTCAGACCACAAAGCTCATGCATACTCTTGTCAAAATGTACAGGGAGGACTCTGTTCACAGCCCAGGGCGGGCAGGCCCCATCGCCTTTCTCTATACAGCTGGCGTTGTGCTGGGAGCTAACCAGTCTGCTATGCCTCTCTCTAAGGCCTGAGACCTTAATGACAGCTCAAAGAGGCAGGCAACTGCCAATTATGACAGTCAAAAACATCACAGTGGTGGCTTGTCTCATCTGCCTGGAAGGGGATAGAAGAGGCCTGGTCTAAGATGTCTGCCACTATTTCTTACATCACAGCTAACGTGAACATTGCCGAACACGGAGGTGAATGGCAGGACACAACCACAGGAAGGGACACATAACAGGCAGGAGGTACTCCTCTATTCAAGTTTTATGTTAAACCAGCAACCGGTAAATGTCCCCTTAGTGATACTAACTGACAGTGTGTGGCTCGTAAACTAGATGGCAGGCTCTGATCCCTGCACATCGTCTTCCATGTCCTGCTGCTCGCGCTGCTGCTGCTGGAACTCCAGGCGGGTCTGGCGGTTGGACTCCAGCAGTTCTTTCAAACAGGCGTGTAGATAATCGTTCTTCTCCTCCAGGTGATCCAAGCAGGAGTTGATCTGGTCCAGCATAGAGTTTATTGCTGCGTATTCTAAAGGGAAGGGAAATGAGAGACTGAACAACGTAAGTACTATTACTGCAGTCAGTTAAGGCAGCAAGAGCTCTTGCCAAACATGCCTACAGCATTCTGCCCATGTCTTACCTGTCACAGGGTGGGTGAGGTAAAACGCAACTGAATCCTGCCTGTGTTGTGTTCACTGATCAAACAAGACCAATGGGAAACTGGAGGACGAGGACTGGTAGCAAGATCTAAGGCAAATAACCTGTGCAGAGTGAAACACGTTCTGGGCACGTCTGCTGACAGCCTTTGATCTCTTACATAAATAGCTGACCCCAGGCTGACAGCTAGTGTGCAGGGATCCACCCTGCCACAGAACTAAATAAATCCCAAGGACAAGTTAGCCTTTTTAGCGGCCTTAGGGATCATCTTTCCTGATGAGGATGCAAGCATTCTGGCAGCATGTCAGAGAGTTTACATTCTGTAAATTACTTGTTTAAGGCTTCCAGGCTGGGATGTGGCTCACAAGGGCCTGGTTTGGATCGGGCTGCCAAAACAGAAGAGCCGTTACTGTGGCAGAAGCTGGGATGAGACCTAAAGATGCCACGCAGCCGCATCAGTTTCCAACGTGAAATAACTGTGGAACACCAAATCCAACCAGAGCGTTTTCATACAGTTTTCGTAAGACTTTGGCTAGTTCAGGTTAAAACCAGAGGAAGTTATTCCTTCAAAATGATGCTGTTAGATCTATGCAACCTAAAAGACAAATCCAATAGTGAAACTGAAGTTGGTTCCCTAGTTGCAGTTTTTTATTTAAAGCGCTTGTTTCAAGAACAGAACTGTTAGCCTCAATACAATGGCAATTCGCAGCAACGTGTATTAGTACTGTTAATCAGATGAAGATAGCTGTGCTGTTGGGATAAAACACTTGCTTTTGGATGGCTCCAAACAACATTCATGCAATCTTAAGAGAAAAGCAAAAAGCCACACTGCAAAACCAGACAAGATAAACCTCTGCTGACAAGTTCCTTAGGAACTGGAAATCTGGCATGAGCTGAAACCCCAGGGGTTACAGGAGACCTCAGGCGGAACCAGTCCCATAGTCCCTTCTGAAGACGCACAGGCTGAGCAAGCACGGGAGGCAGGCATCAAGCAGTCTGATCGATGGGCTGAAGTCTGTGGGGATTGTGGGCTGCAGGAGAGGAAGAGGCCTGCGTGAGTGGGATAAGCCCACACCTGGCCAGCGGGGGCTGGCTGTTCTCCACCAGGCTGCTCTGAGCAGCTGGGAGAGCATTAGAGCCAAGTATAAAGCGCGCACAGCACCTGGCTGGAATGGTGCTCTGAGCTAAGAGGGAAATTAGGAGGAGGCAGAACTGCTCTGAGCACCCTTCTAGTGAGCTGCAGGGGATGAGGGTTGAGCCATGCTGAAAATTCACCAGCCCAGCTTCGTTCCTCTCGGCTGCTGAGCCCCGACGCCCTTGTGGGCAAAGCGCTCAGAGCCCCCAGCGCACACCAGACCCTTATGAATAAAGTCAGTTCCTTTTAAGTTATCATTTTCTAAGTGGTCTCACACCAAGCGCACACACACACTGACATTAGTTCTCAAGAGGCCAGATCTTGAGATAGGTAAGGGGACCTGGCAGGATTTTACTGGGCGTGATTTGCCTCTAGTGAATAATCAGCAGTCTGTGCTGCTTTCAAAAAGCATCTTCCCAAGGCCGAATGACCCTGGGAACAGGTCAAGGAGAGCAGAGGTCAGTGGTAGAGCTGGATGCTCTTTGAGAGAAGTTATTTCCACAGTTTACAGTACAACTATTTTAAAAAGAACTGTGAATACTGAAGTATTACAGTTATTTGCATTACTAATAGTGGAGGATGAGTTTCATTGTAAGAGAATTGTCCTCCTTTTCTTATGCTACTTTGATGGAGCCATTCAGAGCAGTGCTGCAGCCTTTAATTGCTTGGAGAAGTGCATATGTGGCACTTAAGCATGTTTATAAGAGAAAATTTTGGCCTTGCAGGTATATGCAGAGGTGGTATTACGAGCAAGAGCACAGCTGATGTCCTTCCATTTAAAAACGAATTTCACAAACACAAATTCTTTCCAAAAAAGGGGCAGTCATCAATATTTTGTAAACTCTGCTTCACAGTATATGATACCAGAATGTCCAGGAGTTACAGCGCTCCTTTAACATAGTATTTGTTCTATGTGTGATGCAGCATGTTCCAGTTAAACGGTGAGAAGATCTCAAGCAGATACGATGACTACTTCTGACAAGAAAATAACATTATTCATCAACTAGGTCAAGAACTCTAATCACAGAAGCCTAATTGTTCTCGTGCCCAATGCTCAAAAAAAAAAAAAAAAAAAAGCTATAAAAACCGTGCAGCTTTGGGAAGCGGAAAAATTTTAACTATTTTAAAATAAGCTGTAAAAACAGTTAATTTGATTGTCTTCTGCTAGTTGCAAGCTTCGTGTATTTTTGCAGACACTTAACTACTTCTCCCAATGGAGATGTTCACCAGGAGCGGGGCAATCACATTTTTTGCTTCTCTGCATTCTTATGGTAACAGTTGCCATGAAATAAGGTCTCCTGCTTGAGATCAAAGAAGCGATCCACAGTTTCACCTCAACTAAACCAGGAAATATCTACAGATCATTACAACTAGAGAGCGCGCACAAACCCTCTGCTAATTACAAATAGACCAGCCTAATGCGGAGACTTGATTTAGCGACTTTCTCCATCGCCTCCACTGCATCTCTTAGCTCTTCAAAAAGTAGGAAGCGCAAATCACCGTTGGATAACGCAGTGCCGTGACTGCTCCTGGGGTACTGCAGCAACAGAAACGATCCTTCTGTCACTGGGACGATCAGCCAGAAAGACGAGATTCACCTACACAGGTCAGGTCTGTGCTTGCTGGAAACTCAGTGGTCTTTTGAGAAAGGGAAAGCAAAGCTCCGTTCTTCCCCACTTTCAAGAGGAGAGTAGCTATGTGCTTACGCTTCAAAAGATTTCCAATGTTAAGAATGACCCATACATACCCCTTTGAGCTCTGCTATTTTCTCATTTCCTCCAAAAGTTTTTTTTTTTTTGGTCTAACCGGCCACGGCAGTATCAAAAATTTCATACCTAGGCATTGCAGAAATGACTGAAAGTGGAATTTGCCAAGCTGATTGCATTAAACACAGTTTTTCCATCCTTGACTATTTCATCCAGCTCTGCCCAAGCGGTCTCTCCTGCGGGTTCAAAAGCTGAACACGGTCATCACAGCCTGTACGCTAGCAAAAGCACTGAATAATCTTCTTTTCACACGGGGGGAAAAAAAAAAGCAATCTATAGGAGCTGCCGTGCCACACTGAGGGGAAGGAACCATCTCCTCCGCCTTTGCGCGTGCAGCTGCTGAGGTCACAGGACGAGTCCTGAGAAGCGCTAGGTCTGGCTTCCAAAAACTAAGAAACAGAGCTGACAGACAAGCGCTAATCCCCAAGGCAGCGACGCGCAGCCATAAATCTGGAAAAACACCACC